GACTCCCCTAGCTGCTGGGCGATCACCTGTGGTGCTCCCTATGCTAGGACCTCGAAACGCGCAAGCGCATAAAAAATTTTTTTTACCATCTCACAGACCTTTTTGACCAGGGGAAACACTGACCATGCTACACACCCGGCCATTGCTGCTCTTCCAACCCATCTACCTCAAACCTGTCTACCTGCTGCTCACGACACTCCTGTTTGACCCACCCTCACACTGTGTCCCCATCCTCATCAAAAATTTCTCCAACCAGTGACCTTGTACGGGTTTCGCAACCATCCCATTCTCCCTAATCCTCTAATTTCTCCGACACATTCATACTAGTCAATGTTTTGCTAACAGTTGACTGCAGTTGCAGTAATGCTGAACTTAATAAATTATGTCTTTGTTCGTGTGCTTAGGCTAAGCATCTGCCAAGGAGGGTTCGTACTGTCAAGCCAACAGTTCCAACTGGGGAAGAAGTGTCGAGCTTATTTGTTAAGGAATGTATCAAGTCATATAGCAGTGCATGGAACAAGGTGCACTACAAGTACCAGCCATACTCTGCAGGTTATCTACAGCTGCCTAGGTAAGCAGTTATGTTAAACTCATACAGAATATGAACACGGAAACACTGCCCTGCTATTACTGGATAACAGTGTTAAATTTCCAATCAGATAGGTCACCTTCTCGGTATTATAATGAGCTATATCGTTGCAGACCAGACAAGAAAGAAGAACTGGATACACAGGTGTATGAAATTGATATTGAGCATGAAGTTAAAGATGAAGTAAGTCGCATTGTTCTGTAGTCAGTATAAATGTGGTTTAATACGTTTTTAGAGATGTTTGTATGTCTAACTAGAACACTGGTCATATCAGCATCAGTAATTTCTAAGATTCACACATCACAAAGTACAATAATCACAGATGATTGTTATAATAATAAACGTTTCGTATAAGGCAGTTTTAGCTAAAGTGAATATACTTATGTTGTATAATGACAGCCAAATTTGTCTGACACGTGTGCATTTGTGAACAGGAGAGTGCGTTACGACGTACGATGAATAAGAGTGTGACTAAGTCTGGCTATCTGTGCCTGTCACCGGACAGACAACATGATGCAGGTCGTGCGAATTTATCCATGAAGGTAATGAGTGACGTAGTATAGTTATACAAAACATGGTCACTAATAGTGGGAAATCGCCGTAAAGTACGAGATCTTGAATTTATATTGCAATTTTCATCTATGCAATTTTTAAGTCCATGCAAGATGTGATGTCCTCATCAATAATGATATAATTTCAGTCATTCAAGAAGCGGTTTTTCTACCTGAAGCAACAAGTCGATACTAGCTACGTGATGGAATATCACAAGGATGACAAGAAGTTGGATGCCAAGGGACTCATCTATCTAGACTCCCTGGTCGATGTAGTTAAGGTCTCCCAGAATTTTATGACTAATAACCAGTCGATCATAAGCATGTGTGTTATCCTATGTGAAAACACACAATACTGAGCAGTGATTATTGTAAAATGATAAGATAGAGTGTACAAGTTTTCATCAGATAAAAGTTATATTTATAACTAGGTAAGATGTTGTTATTAACCCTGTAAATTTTACATGGATGTGACCCTTTTTAACCTATTTTAAAAACAACCATTTATTTCATCTGAGTATACCCAGAGAGGGAAAATTTAAGACATACATCCATTGATGAGCTTGCAGTAATCGATGTCCTTTGATTGCAGAACCCAAAGCGAGGCAAGTTGGTATTTGAGCTACGCATGCAGGACCGGCATAATGTGTTGCTGCTAGCTGACAATGAACAGCAAGTGGACAGCTGGATTGCCACTCTAAAGCGAGTGATAGATAGTGAGAAGAGAGATGCTTTGGGGGCAAATCGGATCTTCGGTAAAGCTCCTTGTAATTATACTATGGGAGTACACACAGTAATTAATACAGCTAGCTAATGATAAATTTTAGTGAATGAGCTTGCTTGCTTACTTGGTTAACCTCTTGTTCCCCCAATGGGATATAAGGCCGTTAATTCAAGAGGCAGTCCACATTATAGGACAAGTCGCTGTATTTAGATCGAGACCAAAGGAACGTGAAGTGGTTTGAATGCCACTTTAATTTAACAAAAAATAAATAAAATCACCACCGTAAAAGATCCTAATGTCATTAATATGTATCTAATATTTAAGATCTTGCTACAATTTTATGTTGTTCTGCTTTGTGCAATTACAGAGGAGCACATACCCTCGCCAGGCAAAGCGGGAAGCCTGCACGAGAGCCTCCGGCAAAGTATGAACCCCGAGCTGCAGAAATACGCCAGGGAGACGGATGCGAGCATAGCTGAAGACAGGCAGCAGGGCAGGCAGAGACTGTTCAAGTTGTACAGACATGAGATGCAGGTGGGCATCGGCTATCTAAAATCTGAACCCTGTACAACAACAAAGACACAGGCCTCGCCGCCGTGGCACCTGGTTTCTAAACGCAAGCCAGTAACTGCGTTTAGATTACAAAACAACACAACAACAACAACAACGGCCTCCGCCGACCGGCACTTGTTCTACCCTGCAGCCAGTCTATCGTTCAAATTATTATGACGACAACCAACCAACAACAACAACAACAACAAACCTAACAATACAACAACAAACCAACACACAGCCTCCTGCCCGCACCACCCTGGGTTCTAAAACTGGCGCCACTCCTCCGTTCAACCGTTACGACAACAACAACAACTAGACAGATCACTCACGAGTGCAATACCATTCCGCCAGCTGACATACAGCGCCATAACGACTCAACGACACACAATAACCCCACTAATATATCGCCAGGTACTGACACTTATCACGCTCCCATGCTAACAGTTAGTTTTAACCCGACTGTTCGCTGGCTCGCTGGCTTGCTGGGTCTCGCTGGCTTGCTGACAATCGCTGGCATCCGCTGGTAATATCCGACGAACGCCAACGCCCACATACCCTCCGATCCATCTGCTAATATCGATCGCGCGACACACACGAACACAATCCGACGCGAAAACATACCGTCGTCCTAACCTCTTTGCGGAAGGTAACCACAATGGCCACTCCGCCACAGCACCCTGTTTCTTAACTGCAGCCAGTTCCTCGTTGCAGATTCTCCGAAATGTCCGGCTGAAGCTGTTTCGTCTCAGCGTTGGCGTTGAGCCATCTTCTCGCGCCATCTCACACGTCCTTCGACATTCTGCTCAGCTCGGCGCGATCGTTGATTGTCGATATGAAAGTCCTCCGAATCCTTTGCATTCGTCCCGCACAGTCGTACAGTCCAGCGTGGCAGAAGTATCGGCTCTCCTGGCACGAACAAGCGTTAAGACATGGAGTATAGCAACAAGGAAAGCTGCGTGTGTCATCACCCCATTGTGAACAGTACCTCGAATAGTTCCCCCTCCAGATAGTAGTAAAGCCTCTAATCAGCAAACGTTCCAGTCCTTTGTTAACAGTCAACCAAAATCCATGTTTATAACCCTCCTCTTAGGGCTCAAACCAGGTTATCAGCCACCTTGCTCTCGCAACGTCAGCGAAATTCATTCCATGGTCGCTTTCAATAAAGTGATAAAAATGTAGTCAGCGCTGAAGGACAAAAAAGGTTTTGCATCGGTCGTTAGACTCATTCTCTCATAAAATGTCTGACTATCCACCTTCCCCCACTGGCCTGACTGTACTCCAATTTCACACTGTGGATGTTTCCTCCCATCACACTATA